TTCGAACGGTACCAAGACGTTTATTAAAGACGTCAGTAATTGTTTGAAATGCGTGTGGATTTCTGTTTCAGTCAACTTTTGCTATCTCCGTGCTTTAACGGCTAGGGCCCATTCTTTTGCTACGCTTCCTTGGAGTTTTGCCGGTCCTGCTGCTTTGCTCTGGTTCTTCGGTTTTAGTCTCGCGTGGCTCATAGAAGTAATTTTCAACTCCGATTTCGGCGTAGATTTCATCTGTGATGTACCGCTGCCGAACAGCGTATTCGAATACGGCGAGATGTAGGAATAGAAATTGCTCGGGTATCTGGAAGCACAATGTGAGTTGGTTTGTGAGTTATCCATGGCTATTATTACCTGCATAGCCATAGCACGCTGAGTCCGAATTCGCAATACTACATCTTCTACATCTACTAGAACTCCGCAAGATTTGCCGGCTGTATCGTCCATCTTTTTCATACAGATGTCTAGGGCAATCAGAGTAGCTCCTCGACCTGCTCCCGAAAGGCAGTGTACGACTAGGGGACTGCTGAATTGTAGCTTTGAATTTATGGAGATTAAGATGCAGTGGAATCGTACGTTTCATTTGCTTTCAACCAGCCAGCGGTAATAGCTTCTTTTAAAAGCAAATCTCTGTTGAAATTGATATCTGCTAGAAAATTAAGTAATTCTGTCGGTCTACGCGGTGTTCCTTTGTGTCCCCAGGAGAAGAAGCAGATGTGCAGTAACTTTCTTTCAACTCCATCTCGAATAACCTGCAGTTCATGAATTCATTTTGTTTCAGTCTTGTTGCTGACGATACCTTAAGTATCGTAGCGTCGTAGGTCCGTCGAACACAACGTGTTCCACAATGGACTAATTTGATGGCTTCAGTATTGAGTTCCTCTCCTGTCTTCTGTGGAATGTAGCATATTCCCCACTGAAAAGCGATGCGGTTTTTTCTGTTAGATTTACGAACGCTTACCTCCGCCCCATTGACATCGAACATTTGTATCATTGAAACAATTAGCACACTCTTCTCCTGCCACACCATGTTCCAAAATTGA